GCGGTTCAGTAAATATTTTGTGGATTCAGCTCCTTTTTGGAAGCTCAACTCTCTTTTCTCACCCCTCTTGTTGCTTCCCTCTTCCCACCCTACTTTAATTTCTTCAGGCCACTCACCAGAAGCCCACTGCGTTCTTCCAATGGGCCCCCTGACGGTCCTGCGGCGGGGGCCTAAGTGCCGGATTGGCCTCCTCTCCTGGAAGGGGGAAAAGAAGAGGGCCTGACCCCCACCCCACTCCCAGGTGCACGATGGGCCAACGGGCGTTCTCTAGGGACCGAGGAAGTCAATCCCGTGAGGGTGGGCAGGAATACTCACCCTCCGAATCCGAAAGGCGCCGCCCCGCACAGCCTCCCATGGCATCAAGTTCAGGTCCCCCGAGGGGTCCAAAGTCAGAGAGAGTTCAGAGTTGGCTCCGATGAGGCGGATGAGGGTCTACGACAGGTGAGAGGGATCAACGCCCCATTGCCGGTCCCAGTTCCGGCTTCTCCGCTGCACTGGCGCCTCTACGAGCCACGGCCCTAACCCCAGGATCCATCTTGCTCCCTCGTACGCCCCACCACTCCCCTCCCGTCGGACTCTGCCCCCGCCCCCCTAAAGCAGGGGGCCCTGCAGCCTGTACCTTTAAGAGCACCTAAACATTCCGCATCCAGGAACGACGGGTCACGTGACAGCACCTGTCGGTCCCTCATCACGTGCTTGAAGGTCCTCACCACTTCCGGGTCTTTTCTCGATCTTCTCTTTAGACCTACCCAGCTTCGGGACGGGGGACTGAGAGAGGCTGGAAGAACCCTGGAACCACAGGTTTAAAACTGGGGTGGGTAGGATCAACAAGAAGAACCACGATGTTAGTTGGGGACGCCCTAGGCTGTGATCTACCGTACCAGCACTAATCATGGCTGCGAATGGCTTCAGCTCCTCTGCAACTGCCAGAAATAAATATGGCCACCTGCCTATCCGGTACTGTTTCTGGCTGACAACAAAGGCAGCCAGCTTCAGGTCGTTCTTATTTCTATCCGTTGCCTTTAGATTGCTTTAGAAACTGGACATAAAGATAACACCCACCTAAAAATATTTCATGAATTGTCTGTTGGCAGTATCCAAGGTGGTTAAGAGAGCCCTTTTCTCAAATTATCTTAGAACCAAAGTAGTAGTTCAACCCTGGTTTATACAGATGAGAAAACAAGAAAGGAAATTTACTGATGAACATACAACGTTAGACCTAAAGGTGACCTTAGAGACTCGGCAATAAGAAATACAGCACCAGAGGCAGGGGTGCTGGCTGCTGCAGGATTCCTGCCTGCATTAAGGGTGCTTAGACCAGATGATTCTAAGGCCCAAGATTATGATTCTGTGATCTCATCTAGTTCCTCTAATTGGAAATTTGGAAAGTGAGGCTCAGGGAGGGGACCCAAGGAAGAGGTGTCGATTAAGGTCACTTCACAAAGTCCCAGATAAGGAGCGGTTATTCTCTTACCTTCCTCTAGGTGGTAAAGCAACATCCTGAATTTTCTTCATCACGTCTTTCCCCTGCTAATCTCTCCTGTGGGCTTCCAACAGTCATTGCCCACCTCTCCCAGCTCTTTCTCACCACCAGGCCCTCAGACTGCTGTTTGAAATGTACCCGCTTTGGTCTGCTTCCCAGATCACTCAACCAATGAAAAATGGGATCCTACTACCCATGCAGGGCTCTAGAAATTCAGCAACGTGTCATACATGGCCTCCACCTTCGAGGAACTCAAAGGAGGCTCGGAGGTAGACGTGAATAACCACGCTACAAAGTTTAGCCAACTTTCGTTTCTCAAGAATGACTACAGGTGAGGGAATGGGCATTGGAGCCACCAATCCAGCCCCTTCTTCCTCTTGGGGAAGCATTAGTGACCCTGAAATGAGAAGCCAGAGCTCTTACCAGCCCCCTCCTCACTCCTACTCCTTGTCCCCAGGCAAAACAGGAACCACAAACCCCAGTTTCCTCTCACAGTGGCTTTGCAGGGAGACGGAAACGGCTGAGGTGTAAATACAAGACCTGAGTCACTTGAGCTGCAGTTGCCACATGCCCCCTCCCCCCTCCCCAATTCTGAGGTCTCCTGCTGCCGCTTTTTCCTTTCGGTCCTCCTCCCTTGCCCTTTAGCTCCGAATGTACACCACCTGAGTCCCCTGTGTGATATACACCCACTTCCCAGCCTGGGCTGGAAGCAGCTGTGGGCATTGCAGAAGGTGGGCAGGGCTCGGGGTGGGGATGCGTCAGGGAGAGACAGGGGAAGAGGAAGTGTCTTGGGTCCTGGGGAAGACTGGCTTGGTGGGTGGGGACAATCATTGTCAGCTTTCTGGACACACGGACAGACACAGACAGGATGGATTTCCTCCGGCTACATCTCCCTGGGCTGCATCAGGCCTTGAGGGGGGCACTGGTGAGAGGGGCAAAGAGAGGCCAGAGATTTTCACCCTGCTCCCTGGGGCCTCACCTTCCCTTCTCCCTTTGAGCTTCTCCTCAGACTCAAGATTCCTTCCCCATGATCAGGCAGCCTGCTAGCCTGATCTTCTCTGGATTTCAATCCCCTCATCTCCACAAACACGTCCACACACCTCTAATCTAGGCCGTTTCCTGCTCCTTCTGCAGATTCTGTCCCCCTCGTCCTCCTAGATCCTAGAACCCCTCTTTCTTCTCCCAAGTCCCTCTGGTCCAGGGCCCCGAGGGAGAGGGCTGGGCTTCCTTTTAATACCTTTGTCCCCATCCCTCTTTTCTTCTAGGAGTCTTTCAGCACCTTTGTCTCCTACCTTATGGGAGATGATGTCCCCACTGCAGAGAGGAGGGAGGCGTGTGCAGCTGAGGAACTGGGGGAGGTGGCTACAAGAAGCCTTGGGGGGAAGGTAGAGGAGGAAGCCCAGGAGGCCGTGGAGGGCCTTGGAGGCAGCCAAAGCAAGGGGGATGGAGGGCTGAGAGGGCCTGGAGAGGCTGGAAGATGCCAGGAGGAAAGCTCAGCTACAGAACAGACCTGGGGTGGGGGACAAGGCAGCTCCCATGGGTCTCAAGCAGATAGGCAGGACACTGGGGCCTGGGAGGCAGCCACGGCCACTAGATGCCAGCATTCAAGTATCCCCCTGGGGCCCAGAAGGAAATCTGAGGCAGGGTCTGAGGCTGGTCGAGACAGGAGTAGCCAAGCCCAGGAGAGTCAGCAGCCCGATGAGCAGGAAGTGAAGAGAGAGGAGACACTGAGAACCTGGGAACGGGAGGAGGAGGAGGAAGAGGTCAGGGCAACAGAGCCAGGGGTGGCTGGAGGGGCGGAGTCAGAGGGGACCTGGCACAAGGAGCTTGAGCGGACGGCGAGTGTTGATGGGCAAAAGGTGGCAGAGGACAGAGAGGAGTCAGAGCAGGGGGTTGATGAGACAGCTGCAGAGGAGAGCCAGGGGCCTGGGGCCAAAGGGGCCGGGAGGGAAGAAGAGGTGGTAGTGGTAAGGGGTGGCCAAAGCACAAGGGCACAGGGGACACAGGAGCCAGGGGCAGAACCTGAGGACAGGAAAACCTCAGGCAGGGAGGAGGCTGACCTCCCAGGGGTTGGGGAGACTGAACATGGGGCAGTCCCAGGAGAAAGGACCCCAGAGGGTACTGGGAGAGTCTGGGCCCTAGAGGAGACCTCCAAGGGAGGCCAGGAGGAGGAGGTGGTAGATGAGAATAGAGAGGCTGAAGTGAGCCTCTTCCCCAAACAGACCCAGGCCCTGGGAACCGAGAGAGTGAAAGAAGCAGCCAAGGACCAGGCAGCAGGGAGGGAAGCTGAGGAAGGACAGGACTCAGAGGCGGAGGGAGGGGAGGGCTTTGAGGGCCGGGCAGATCAGGCTGAGGGAGAGGCTGTGGAGAGGCAAGATTCAGAGATCAGGGCTGCTCAAACCAGTCTCAAGGAGGTGGTGCAGGCAGAGGAGGCCGAGCAACAGCAGAAGAGTTGCTGGGCTGCAGAGGCTGAGCTGCTCCAGGACAAAGCAGCAAATGAGGTGGAAGGTGATGTTGACTCGGAGGCAACGCCAGAGGCCAGGCCCAAGAAGGAGTTC